CTAATTGTTTGTGGCAATTATACTATATTGTAATTATCACATTGCCTGGTAATTACTTGCTTTGTGAGTGTGTATCTGTCCGCCCCCCACCCTCCTCCTCCCCAGGCTCCAGCTTCTCCAACCAGTTCCCTGCAGCCTCTGTGTATCTGTTTCTCTGTGCATCTCGGAGTAGCTGCGTATCTGTGTATCTCTGCATAGCTGTGTAACTCTGTATCGGTGACTATTTGTATCTCTAGGTATCTCTACGTATCGCTATATATTTGTGTATCTGTATACATTTGGATCTCTGTGTATCTGTGCATATTTGTGTCTCTGTGTATCTGAGTATATTTGTATCTCTATGAATCTGTATCTCTGTGTATTTCTGTATCTGTGTATATTTGTTATCTCTATATATCTCTGTATATTTGTATCTCTGTATGTTTATCTATGTATCTCTGTGTATCTGTATATATTTTTATCTCTATGTATCTCTGTGTACCTGTGTATCTCTGTGTGTCTGTGTATCTCTGCATCTCTGAAACTGTGTAATTTTTATCTCTATGTATCTCTGTGTATCTGTGTATCTCTGTGTGTCTGTGTATCTCTGCATCTCTGAAACTGTGTATGTTTCTATCTCTATGTATCTGCCCTGCCCTCCTCATCCCCAGGCTCCAGCTCCTCCACCCACCAGCTGGGGGGCACAGGGCCTCACTCCTCACACCAGCCTGAAGCAGAGAATCTCTCAGTGCACATGGTTGGACCCTGTTCATTGGAAGCCCAGCCTCCTCAGGGTCAGAGCCCTATCTTAGCCCTGCTGCCGCCCTGGGTGAGCCTGCTCAGCCGCTACCTGAAGGGGCAGAGGGTCAAGTCCACCCAGAGGCATCTCGGAAGAAAGCCCTCGTGATCTACTCCCCAAAAGTCCTCCACAGAAAGCCCTGGGGAACCCAGCCCTACTCCGACGGCCTGATGCCACCCTGAGCCCGAGCGGATGCAGGACGGTGCATGGGCAGCTGCAGGCCTATGGCTGCGTAGACATGCAGGCCTCAGGTGTCTCTGCTGACAACCTGGGGCTTCTTCATGAAGGCATGAGCCTGGGCCGGAGCATTGTGGGAAGTGAGCAGTCCTCTCTACACGTCCACAAATGGGGCGTCTGACGTGCTGATCTCCAAGGGAAAGGAGCAGCCCTGGCTACGGGTGTCTCCAAGACAAAGCGTCCACGGGGATCCAGGAGGACAGACACCTGCTGCCCTGCGTGCTGACCCGTGGCAGCTCAAGACACGGCTGGCTCTCATCTGTGCCTGTGCTCAGACCAAACCAAAACCACACTCACCGCCGTGGGGTCCACTCAGACTCTGAGCCACCCTACCTGCCTCCAGGGGAGAGGCTGCCCTTCTCCCCTTGCCGCCACCACCCATGGGACCTGCCACCCACAGCGTCATCTCCCCAACCAATGAGTACTTTCAGTGGCCGCTCTGATTCAGCTGCTCGCCCCTCTCACCTCTCTCGCCTCCTGTCCCCGGGCTGCGGCTGCTTAATTAAAGTCAAACCAAAAGGTGATGATCCTGCAGAGTCCCGTGCATGGAAAGACAACTCCAAAGCAGAGGCCAGGAGGAGGACTGTGTCATGAAGGGCCACCTTCTGCACCATCTTATCCAGGAAGGCATCCCAGGAACCCGGGAATCAAAGAGAGACACCCGGTGGGCACGATGTCTGGACGGAACATGAGACGCACGGCATATCCCAAGACAGACAGCCGGAGCGTGGCTGTGGAGTGGAATGCTGCAGAGACTAGGTGGGGTTGGAGCAGTTGGAAGTTCCAGAGGGAATCCTTGTGCAGCACAGAGACCTCCTAGGTACCGCCGGGCAGCTGTGCTGCCAGCTTCCCCGTGCTCATTCAGCCAGAGCCCATCACCACAGCGTCCCCTGACAGGTTCCCTGACCAGTAACTCCCTAAGCAGTGCCCACTGGTGAAGGGAGCCCACAGGGACACTCTGGGGCAGGGGTGGGGAACCTCCAACCCTCAGACCAAACAAGGCCCATGGCACCATTGATAGCAGCTAACGTGACCCCTAACCAAACCAAGCTCACTCCCTGGAGGCCGACCCACGGGGACCCTGCGAGACAGGGTAGAACTGCCCGGCGGGTTTCCCAGGCGGCCGCTCTTCACGGGACTAAACCATCTCGTCTTGGTGCCACCAGGGCCCGGTGGCCATCACACGAGGGGTGAGTTCATTCAACGTCCCTACAAATCAGGTCATCGATAGCCAATGGTCGCTGGCAGATAAAAGGTCCCCAGCCCTGCTTTAGGAGTGAACATACCAGATCGGACCCCGAGTCACCGCCTAGGCGCAGTGATCCTGCCCCCCACCCCCACCCCAAGCCAACTCCCCACCCTCACAGGTAGTCACCACAGCTCTCAACAGCCTGGACGCCCAATACCCCACC